TGATATCCATGAAGCGCATGGCTCATGCTCAACCTCGAGCCACACACGCCCTGCCGGGGAAAGCAAGGCTGCAGAGGGAGAGGCAGGGCCAGGAGCCTGGGCGTGGGGCGGGGGGCGGGGAGCCTCCTTGATCGGGAATCCCACTTAGCGATGTGTCCACCAGCAGCTCTGACTGTTCACACGACCACCAAAGAATGTTGTGTTCTCCACCCACTTTCCCGTTGGCTGCTCCTGGATGGGAACCCCACTCTGACACCAAGGCTGGGTACCAGAGAACTGGCATGCATGGTGAATGGACCACTCCCCAAAGGGCAGAGCCTCATGCCATTCATGGTATTAGGATGAGTTTAAATGAACCAACTAAACCATCAGAAGAATGGATTGAAAGAAAGAAAAACATTAGCAATTTTCCAGAAATCAAGTCAACTTAAGGTCTTAGGCATATTTTCAAAGGGATATTTAGGTTTTTCTTTGTCTTTCTCCTTTCTTTCCATTTCTTGCCATTCATTCAGCACCTACTCTTTGCCATCACCTACCAGCGGCATTTAATTCTTGGCACAAGATAAACACAGTACAACTGATAAGGCACTGATCACAAAGATCTACAAAGAGCTCACAAAGACGCAACAAAAACAAGTAAACAATCCCGTCAAAAAATGGGCAGAAAAACTAAAAAGACACTTCTCCAAAGAGGAAATGCAAATGGCCAACAGGTATATGAAAAAATGTTCAACATCCCTTAGAATCAGGGAAATGCGGGCCTCCCAGGTGGCGCAGCGGTTGAGCGCTGGGTTGCGAAGCTGCCCACAGCCTCTGCAGCGCCGGTTCAATCCCTGGCTGCTCCCCGGCCACCGGAGGAGGGTCCCACATGGTGCGCAGACCTCTCCTGCCGCCCGCTGCTCCCCTCAGCAGTGTACTTCGTCAGTCTGCCTGCTCTACTCTCCGCTCTGACTCTGGTGAATTCTCTCACCCTCCCACGCTTCTGACTGTACCCAATGCTTGTATAAAATAAAAATAAATAAATCTTTAAGAAAAAAAAAAAGGCAATGCATTGTATAATTAAAAAAAAAAGAATCAGGGAAATGCAAAAACAGACGACTGGATCAAGAAGATGTGGCATATATACACAATGGAATATTATTCAGCATTCAAAAAGATAAACTCATGTCATTCGCAGCAACGTGGACGGAGCTAAAAGGGATTATGCTCAGTGAAATGAATCAGGAGGAAAAAAAAAAAGACTGGATGGTTCCGCTTATAGAAGGAATATAGGGGAACCACATAAGGGATCGGGGGGAAAATAACAAAAAACTTGGCAGGAAACTACAAATCAGAGATATTCTGTGGGGGAGGGTGTGGTAAAGGGATCAGAACAGGGGAGAGAAGAGCACAAGGGACCATGGTGATGGTTCATGGGTGAATGGGTGGTGGGAATTTTACAGGGAATATGCCTAAACAGAGAAAGCACACAAGCATATATTGTACAAAAATGAACAATGATGTAAAATATATAAATAAAAAACAAAAAAAATGAAGAGGCGGCTGCTGAGGGTCAGAGAGGTTCAGTATATTATAAATGTCACTAAGCAGAAAGGGACAGGCTGCTAGCATCACTCAGTGTCAATACATGGATTCACACCGTTCCCCTTCGTTTGAATGTCCACTAATCAAGTTCAAAAAACATTAGTGGTTCCCTAAAATCAACCAAATTAAGAGCCAATAAGTCAACTTGGCATTCAAAGCCCTCTACAATTTAGTGCCAAATTCTTCTCATTTTACACCCTAATGTTCCCCTATACTTGCACCATGCTCTAGCCAGGAGACCCCTCTCCTCCCCCGAATGCATTGTATCTCATCCCAGTCCTCCACCCTTGGACCCCCAAAACAAGGACTACATTACCTGTGTTAGTTCATGGAGTGAGGGGCCCTTTGGCCAAGTCCTCCCAAGGATGTGGGGTGCACAGACACGGGGACACAGGCTTAACAAACTCTGTCAGCAGAGCTCATCCTTCACACACTGGAAAACCCTTCCCTTTCCATCCTATATAGCCACACTTTATCCAGAGGCAGGTTCATTTCCACAGAAACCCCATCCTCTCTTCTGCAGCTCCCTCCAATGCCAGCAAACCAAGGCCCAGGGGAGACTTAACATGATTAAAATTTTAAAGCATTTAAGATACTCAAAGGAATCGCATCCTTGAAGTGCAAATCACCAATTTAGGGAGAAAGAGCTCAATACAGGGGAGTAGAGGAAGGAGCTACACAAATGTAAATGAAATATAAATTGAAACAATATTGCGCATAAATTGATTGACCACACACTGGGAACTTCAGTACCAAATTGTGCCACAAGGCCTGGCCAGAGTTGGTTCTCAGCACCTGCTCCTGAGGTGAGCTGGTTTTCTGGATTTTGCCAAAAGGAGAATAACAGTTCTGAGATGAGTTATTTAATAGGCAGGGCACAAAGCGAAGAGACGGAGCTGGGGTGCTGAAGCAGCAGAAATACTAGTCAGGCTCCCATCAGACAATCCCCCAATGTCTAACACTGAAGTCTGGTACCTCATGAAAAAATGGCAGGGCATAGAAAAACTGGCTAACTATGGAATTAGTAGTCTTGACTTAAATAGTATGAAACGACAAGAAATAGAAGTCCACTTATATCTAGAAAAGTATAGCTAGTATTTAAATTCTGCCTTTACATGCGTTACTCATTATCTTTTTCTGTCCACACTTTACAAGCTACACATTTCCTTTTATCATGAGAATGAACTAAATTTGAAAGAAACTTTCTAGTCTCTAAATCTACGGAAACAATTTGGGAGGAAGGAACATTATACTGTTTTACACTCTAGATTAGGAAATTGAGAACAGGGGGCCTGAGGGATCTGTTCAGCCCCTCCAGACAGAGTACTGGGGCTTCAACTCTATCAGTGCCCACCACCCTAAGTTAATGAGTCCTCAAGCACAATTTCAAAAGCTAATGCATCTACACACCTCTCCCTCAACTGACAAATCACTTAACCATTCTAAAGGCTAGGATTCAATTTTATGTTCATTGACAGGCAGGCTCCCAAGTCACCAATCCGTGTGATTTTCCACACGTTTTCTATTATCAGTATCTTCCTTATGCCACCAAGCCACTAGGTGTTCTTGATTTTTTTTATTTTTAACTAAGGATCACACTTCAGAGGTCAACAGGGAAGACCCCATCCATCAGCTGAAGCCCACCAGGGAGAAACTGATCTCTGCAGATGTGAAGTCCTCATGCTGCTGTGTCTAATCACATGTACTAATGAGAGTGGCAAACCAAGGAAAGAGATGCCAAGGGTGGCTTATTTGCTTGGTTTTCTCCTGGATGAAAGGCAGATGGCTGTGCCAGGTCTCAGCAGCACACCAGGCTATGCAGACCCACCAAGGCACAGTTTACTGGGAAGCAAAATTTTAAAAATAATTTCAATTTAGCAAGGCCATACATTTCAAAGGGCTATGCTGCTTCCACTCTCCTTACCCTTCAAGAATAAAAGTGCATTTAAAAGGAGGGGAGGGAGGATGGAGGCACTTAGAATACTCGGTCAGCTCAGCACCCAGTTAGGCCACTTCAGTACCTGGAAAGACTGTTTCCATTTCTGCCCTGCCAGATAAAACAAACCCATGAAATTCACCAAAAAGCAAACAAGAGACCTCCACTCATCTGATATCCTCAGCTGAGAAGAAATGAGGGAACAGCTGGATGGACCCACAGACCAAGCAAGGGAGGAAGCCTCTGAGAAGCTGACCCTCAGCACTGATTCTTACGGGCCAGACTTTCGGACTCAAGTCTGTTGTCTGTAGCCAGTCCCGCTTGGCTTGTGCCAGGATAACGTTCCCTGGGTACGAGCCGACCCGTGGTCCACCTCCTCTAACTCAGAAATTCCTGGGTTTGCGGTGACACTCAATGGGGGGTGACAGGATTTTGGAAAAAATAACGCTGCTTTCAGAGCCTCTTAGCCACCAAACCACCAAACCGCCTGCGCGTGTGCACCAGCCGGAGCCCCCAGCGCCCGCAGGACGGCGCCGTCCCGGCCTCTCCGGCGCCCCATTCACCCCGGAAAGCGCCGGGTGCCCGGAGCGGCGTAAAGGGTCCCGGCGGCCTGACCGCTTGGCCCCTGGGGGCTGTCGAAAACACACTCTTGGAAGAGGGACTATCCCCGCGAAACGGCGGAGTGGGGCTGGGAATGGGGACCCCGCAGACCACGTCCGGCCGGCGCAGGGGGTCGGGACAGTGTAACGCCCGCGGCGCCGGGGGGGGGGGGGGGGGGGGGCCCGCCGCGGCGCCTCACACCGCGCAAAGCGCCGCGGTTCTGCACTTGACACCGCCCCGGGGAGTCTGCTTAATCCCGCGTGGCGCTAGCTGCGCCCCGACCCCGGCCCCGGGGCAAGGAAAGGAGCAGAGAGACCCCAAACTGCTCCCTTCCGCCGAGTGACGAGCGGGGGTAGGTGAGGATTTGCGGCGGCTCGTGCCAAAGGGCTGATAAGAAACTTGGACTCCCCTGCCCTGCCGTGCACGCCGAGCCGCGAAGGCAGCCGCCCCCCCTCCTCCCCACCCCCTTTGTGTTTCCAGCACCCTCACCCCTAAACTTCCCACCGCAGCGGGTGGGGCTCCGGCGGCCGGACAAGACTCAACTTAAACTACGTGGGGCAGAGGGGGGGCGTCTACCGAGAGGACGGGGCGGGCACGAAAGGAGCCCGGGGTCCCCAGTCCGCGGGGCTGCACCGGGCAGCCCTCCCCGCGGCGGGCGGACGCCGAGGGCTGGATGCGCCCCGGCCTCGGGAGGCCCGGGCGGGCGGGGGCCGGAGGGAGGTCCGGGCAGAGAGCCGGGGCGGGGGCTCCCCCTCCGCGCCCCGCGGCCACGTCCGAGCGAGGGGTGGGCGGCGGGGCGGGAAGCGCGGCGGCACTAGGGGGCCGGGGTGCTGGGGGGGCCGGGGGCGGGGGGACCCGCCGGGCAGGGCGTCCCACTCACCTTCCTGCCGGCGCCGCCGCCCGCGCCCGCGGCCAGCGCGGAGCCGCCCCCCGAGTACATGTAGTAGGCGATGCCCAGCACCCACAGGAAGGCGAAGCACAGCAGCATCCGCGAGCGCCGCCGCATCCTCCCAACTCGGCCGCCGGCCGCGCCGCTGCTCGCGAGTGCTGCGAGGCCGGGGGCGGGGCGCGGCGGGGAGGGCGCAGGAAGGGGAAGGCGCGGCGGCTCCTCCCCGGCGCGGCGGCGGCTCCGGGCGGCGAAGGCGGCGCGCACTGGGCGCCCGAGCTCCGCCCCGGGCCGGGAGCGCCGCGCGGCGCCCGAGCAGGAAGCGGCGGCCTCGGAGGCGGCGAAGGGGTCAGGGAGCAAAGGGCGACCAATCGGCGGCGGCTGCGGGGGCCCGAGCGCGGGCCGGAGGAGGGGACGACCGCGTCTCCATGGCTGCAGCACGCCGGCCTCCGCCGGGACCGCCCCGCCCCGCCCCCTCTGCGTCGCCCCGCCCCCCTGCGTCGCCCCCGCCGCCGAGCCCCGCCCCCCGTGAGTGACAGGTGGCTGCCCGGGCCCCGAAGAGCGCGCGCACGTGCACGCGCACGCGGGACACTCTCCGTCATTGCTGCCTCGCGGCCACCTACGGGCTCTCCTGTCTTCGGACCAGCTCTGACCCTGAGCCGGCTGGCTCTTGTGGACCTACCCGTATGCGTTTTTTGGTTCAAAACCCCTTCTGGACCCGACTTTGCTGCTACTCGCTGCAGTTTTCTTACTGATCTCGCTGGAAAACATCTCTGAACCCCTGCTCTTCATTGTGTTTATATATTTAAGCTGAGGTGGGGGCCTAGAGGCAGAAACAATAAGTTTCAAGGGAACATTTTTCTGGGAATGAATAAAGCGCGAACAGCAGGTTTTAGTTTTGTTTTGCTTTTTAAGTAAACATGAAAGAAGAAGGAAAACTATCCACACATATATGTATTTGTGTGTATATTATATTTTTTTTGGAATTTGTTATGCATTAAAGTTTATTCTAACACTATATAAAGGGTTCCAGTTTAGTTTTCCTTATCCAAATGTCTAACATAGATTCTTTATAGCATTTAAAAACATAGTATGGTAATTTAACAGAATGCAATGAAAACTAAAAAAAATAAATAAATAAAACTCTGCATTATGTGCCAGACCTATGATAAAACCAAAAATAAGCACATTATACTTGTCTTTATGAAAAACAGAATCCATTTTCATTAAAATGTTAAGAAGAAAATGTAGATGTATTTGTGGGAAATGTGTTAGGCCACAGACAATGAATGCTTTTAGTTATTTATAGAAAGAGGGAGGCCTAACAAACAAAATCTATGTTCTGTTTCTCCACATTTTGCTTTGTGATCTGTAGTTACACAATTCATACTTAGTAAATGTATTCATAATTTCTGTTAAATTGGGACATTATTTTTAAAATAAATTTTATTTTTATATTCCCCATACAATTGCAACCCCCTTATTTTGACCCCAATCCCTCCCCTCCCAGTCCCCCACCCCCCATAGAGTGTGCATATTATATTTTTTAAATCTTTTCCTTTTAATATGTTGCTTTCTTAAGAAATAATTAGTGCACTAAACATCTTTAAAGAGGCAAGACAGATCTGTCCTGTAACAGCATCTGTATAACCTTGACAATGCCCTTGTACCATGCAAAGTTTCCAGTGAGAAAGAAATGTTATTTAGCGCTGATATTTTTAATTGATTTCGGGAACTTCCCAGTCTAGAGGATAATGGCAGCTGCCTAGATCTGAATCTCTACCCTGAATCTACTTTCAGGGTAAAAAAAAAAAAACAAGACTCAGCATTCCTAGGACAGAGAATGACATGAACCTAACTTCAAATTACTTAAGTAGAATAAAGGAAAAACATCAAATTCCAACAAAGCTCCCTCCACTGTTGCCAAGCACTTAAGTGAAGCCCAGAGTTAAGTCCCTTTGTAAAGACAATGTCTCACAACAAGATCAACTGAACACAGGTCAGTCTCTTGATTGAAAAAGAGGACAGGTTTGAAAGAGAATAGGACAGGAGGTGGCAGCCTTGAAGAAGCCTTGCTTCTGGGCAAAGTCAGATAAATAAAGAAAGGGTAAAGTCCTTTGGAAGCCTAGCAGTGAGAGGAAAGAAAGAAGAAAGGGGAGAAATTAAAGATCATGCAGAAATAAAAGACAACCTATCTCTCCCTGAACCACTGTTATCTATTAAAAACTGCATTTCATTATACAGGTAGAAGTGAACATCCTTGGACTGGGAACCCTGAGTCAAAATGCCTAATTACAGAAAATCATCAAGTCAACTGCACACACTGCAAATGCAAAAAAGAAAGCAAAATAAATCACATTTCTTATGATGAAAAATTAATCCACATTTCCACTAATAAATCCTCTCCCAACCATGGAGCAGAAAAAGTTTGTAACACCACAAATCAAACTGAACAAAGTATCCTCTATTTGGACACACCCAGGTCTGGGCAGACCCAAGCACACTCACATACACCCTTAGATACAACTAGAATCAGAAATTCAACATCAGAACAGATGACACAAAAATTAGGAAGAAAGAGCTGATCAAATCCAGGAAAGAAATGGAAAATAAAAACAAAACCCCAGAAACAAAGAACAATTACAAAATCCTAAGAAAGAATGTATTCAGAATACATTCAGAATACAAAATATATAAGGGCACTGAATAATAGTAAGAGGATAATTAAGAAAATGAAAATAAGAAAAAGAAAAAAGCAGATAAGGTTTAACGGTAAGTGGTTGAAATGAAAGCCAGGGAAGAAGAACCAAATTACATATAACTGGAGCCCCTAAAGCAAAAACATCAAACAGTGACACAATATTAAAACTAAATCCCAGATGTGATGTACAACATATTAACTATAATTAACATTTCTGTACAATCTATTTGAAAGTTGTTAAGAGTAGATCCTGAGTTGTCAAAAAAGAAAATAATTTGTTCTTAATATACCTACATGAGATGCTGCATGTTAACTAAAGTGATTGTGGTAATCATTCCATAAGTTATTAGTCAATTTATTGTGCTGTACACCTTAAACTTATACAGTGCTATATGCCAATTATATCTTAATAAAACTGGGTAAAAACCTATAATCCCAAAAAAATAATCCAAAGATAAAACAAAATTTAACTTACAGAGAAAAAGTGCCATTTACATACCTTAGAAAATTGGTTGGAATGACCAACTTCAAAATATATCTAAGTAATACTATTACATTTTAGAGACAAAAAGACCAAGTTACATAGAAAGTTAAAAATTTAGGCAAGGGCCTCCCTGGTGGCACAAGGGGTTAAGCACTGTGAAGCTGTCCTCACCCTCTGCAGCACCAGTACAATCCCCAGCCAGCCAGGGAGCTACCCACATGGCGCAGCAGACCTCTCCTGTCTTACCCACTGTTCCCCTCAGCAGTGTATTTCAGTCAGTCTACATGTTCTGCTCCCCACTATCTCTCTGGTGAATCCTCTCACTCACACACCTGCACCTCTGGCATGTACCCTGGTTCTTATATGTACAAATACATAAATCTTTTACAAAAATTTAGGTGAACAATCACACTCTTTTGAACACATAAATCAGGCAACAGGAAAGCAGCATTTATAAGAAACTCAAGGAAAGAAAGTACAAGCCAAGGATTTTTGTATCCAGCCTTCAAGGACCAAGGCTATAGACAAATAGATGTGAACTGAGCTTCAAAATTCAAGAGCATCATAAGCCTTTCCTGGAGAATGGACTTCTCTCCACCAAGACATAAATGAGAAAAGCAACAAAATGACTAAGGAAGAGCCTCCATCTATGCAATTGGTGGAAATACCTGAATTCAACTATATTTCATGTAACTATCATAGCCACACTGACAGAAGTAATATACATGATGTTAAACAAAGTACTTGAGCTTTATTCCCTCTGCCTGTGTGTAGAATGAGTAATAGAACTACAAACAATTTTTGAATTCTTTTTATGTTTTTCTTCATAGTATATGGGTGGACTGATTAAACTATTTTATGCTACTGTGTAATTAGACAAATTAGAAAATGCATTTTTTGGAGCTAGAATTTTTAATATGGAAGAAGGGAGACACAATATGGAATGAGGGAAGGAAAGGAAGATTCCTGTGGAATAGATGTGGAGTTAGAGATAACAGTATGAACTCGTTTCATATATATGTGTGAGATACCTATTTATGCACGCATGTATATCTGTGTTTATATATATAGTCACACATACAAACAAATATATTTTGCAGATATAAAACATATATAATTATTATGAATTCTCTCTCTACATATATATAGATACAGATATAGAAATATAGATACCCTAGGGGCCTTCCTGTGGGGCAGAAGGTTAAGATGCAGCACTATGAAACTATCCACAGCCACTGCAGCACAAGTTCAATCCCTGGCCAGGGAGATACCCACATGGCGTAGCAGACCTCTCCTGACTCACCGGCTGCTCCCCTCAGCAGTATATTTCAGGTAATCCGCTTGTTCTGTTCCCCACTCTGTCTCTGGTGAATCCTCTCACCCCTACACCTCTTGCCTGTACCCCAGTTCTTGTATGTATAAATAAAAAAATAAATCTTTAAAAGAAAGAAATATAGATATCCTAGATTTGGCCGCTGAAGGGGACCAGAACAATGATACCCTAGTAGTAACAAGCACATCTTATAAGTAAATCATTCCCCACTATAAGAGGGTTTCCTTGGAAAAGTGATTGATTTCATGACTGGAGCCTAGAAGGTATGTATGATCTAGAATATCATGTTATAATGGAAAGTAAGGAAAAGCTAAAAAAAAAAAAAAAAAAAGGCAGGGCTCAGGAAGAATGTTAAAAGTTCACAGAAGCCAGCTTGAAGGGTTTCTTACCCTTCAAGGCTAAAATCTAGTAATGTGTGTGTGTGTGTGTGTGTATCAAAATAAATTCTGAATAAAATGGGAATCTATGAGTCCATGTTTACAGTGAGTAGATGAATAATTGGAGATGGGTGGGTCTTTCAGTAGAATGCCAATTGAAAGAAGGATGAAGTTGAAAATCACCATTTTGCAACCATCACATCAAGACTGGATGGAGAAGACTCATCAGTGAATATTAGAGAATGTATGTTGGGGCTGGTGGAGGGGATATTATTAGAAAGAATATTACA